AGGATGTTCCCATCCTTTTATAACAGCTTTCCAGGCCTTACTATCCAAAGATTTTAAGAAAGCAACCATACGTGGTTTCCAGTAGTCATAATTACTCCCGTCCAGAACAGGTGATCTGTTCACAAATCCTCCTTCTTTGTCCATGGTACCAGAAAATATTGTCCCTAGATCTCACCCAGAACCAGAGCAGGATGCCTGCTATGATACCAATTGAAATTCTGGTATTAAATATCATATGTCGAAGGAGATGTTACGACACTAATATCTGTACAATCATCAATAAGGACAAACAGATAACAAAAGCAAAAAGACACAAGCAATTGTTTACCTAGTTTGGTGAAAACACACCTACGTTTGGGCGCTACCAAGCTAGGAAGGAAATCTACTAAGTAGAATTAGTTTGAAGATATATAATAGACTCTCTCTAGTTTACCATCTTCTCACCTAATCTCTACCCTTTCAATTTCTACCTAGGACACTCCTAGATAACAGACACCTCTCACTCCCCCTCAATCACATCAATGATAACAACAAAAATAAAAAGACTTTATAAGACACTCTTCAAAGACACAATCTTGATTTTGCTTAAAAGCTTCAATAAAGAACAATACACTCTTGCTTACAAGCTTTGAATGAACAACTTATAATACAAAACTTAGTCCAATTCACACATTAAAGTAATGAGTGAACGACTCACAAGCTAAAACACACGAAAGCTAGAACACTAATTCTTATGCAATTGCACAATATAAACCTAGCTTCTCTGATCTGTAAGCTAGGGTTGCGAAACCTTAAATAGCAGCACTTGGATGGGCTTGGGCTTTGGCAAAAGTAACAGCTGATCGTGAAGAGATCAATCTAAATAATTAGCATCAATGAAACAAATTTGATATGATCCAAGATCCAATCAAATCATTCTTCAAATCTTCAAGATATTCTTTAAAAAATAGATCTAGTTGAGTTCATAAATGTTCCACGATATGTGAATCAAAAACTCCTTTGAATAAGCACAAGATCCACGCAGATTTACACCATAAAAGACAGATCACAGCAGTGCAAAGAGTTGCACAAAAGTAGCAGACAAACAAACACATTCTCTTAGAATGTTTTGTTCATAAAAGCTAGGACATCATGTTTGACATCATGAACTAAATCCTACAACAACAATCATAGCTACCAGCAGAATCTAAATACCATATGTCAAGACATCTTGTAGGACATCTTGTGATTTCACCAAGTTTTACGAAAATGCCTGCCAATCAGGAACTAACAGCATGTATACTTGAAATTAGTGAAAACTTGAAATCCGTGAACACGAGTGAGGAGATGGAAGGGCAAGTTATGTAATCCTTTATCGAATGTTAAATTATGTTCATCTTGCATCAATGGAAGATAAAAAAACTTTATCTAATAAAAAGTGTCGTGTAGATGTCGGAGTAGTGTTACACGCAATATACAAAATAATACATAAAAATAATAATAATGTCTAAATAGATCCTCCGTGGGCTATGTGTGCAGCCCGAGATGATCCAGTAAAAACTTCACCATATGGGTTTATCAAGGTAGAAGGTGATCGGGTTCAAGTTCCCTTTGAACTTATCAAGGGTGACACTCTGCTTTGAACTCTTGTCGATCAGCTCCTCAAATTTCCTCTTGACCGACCCTACTGAGAGCTTGCTGGGAACCCCGCCGGATATGACCATCGCGGTCGTGAAGTTCACCTAAGGGATGCGAGCGGGCAGTGTTGTGTCGGCCTCGTAGGGGAGGTAGAAGTCCTCTGGTCGGGAGATGCAAAAGGCGACTTGTAGCCCGACCTCGTCGAAGGGTGGTGGCACCTCCTCAACCCTCTTCGTCTCACGAGTTATGTGTCGAGGAGCCTCGTTCCTCCTTGTGTATTGTTTCAGGAGCCCTTCCTTGATTAGGATTTCGATGGCATCTTTGAGGTGGATGCAATCTTCTGTGACGTGTTCATGGCTCCGGTGGAACTGACAACACTTAGACTTGTCAATGTTGGACTTAGGGAGCGTCGGCTTCGGGAAGCAGACACCACCTCTTTGGAACTCTGAGTTTATGCACTCGGCCAGAATACGCTCGCGAGGAGCTGTGAGTAGCATGTACTCGGTGAATCGATCAGCTGGTCCCCTCTGTTTCCGGGAGCCCTGGGGCCGATCTTCTCTCCTTCTCTCGCCGCCTCGTCGAGGAGCAGTGTAGTCTTCGTTCCTGAAATTTCACGTACTCTTCTGGTTTCGCGAGTCATGGACGCAGTTGGCGGCCTCCTTTTCCTCGTACTGGATGTATGCTTGGGCCTTGTGAAGGAACGTGTCTAGTGTGTTAGGCCTTTAAATGCCGACGACCTTGGCAAACTTCGTGCGAGGTTGCAGTCCTCGTTCAATCAGATACCTCTTTATGTCGTCTGAGGTAGCTGCTTGTACAGCTTGTCGCTTGAATCTCTCGATATAGTCCTAGAGAGATTCTTCTTTCCCTTGGATGATGGCTTCTAAGGATGCTTCCGTCTTCGGATGTCGTCGGGAAGTGGTGAAGTGCCTAGAGAATTGCCTCTTCAGCTCTCTCCAGGAGGTGATGGACTCGAGCTCGAGGATTTTATACCATACCATTGCGCCTTTCCTCAAGGTCGTGGGAAAGAGCCTGCACTTGATGGATCCTCGGACGTTCCTATAGTCAAACATCACATCGATGCTCTCAATGTGGTTGTCCGGATCGGCCGTACCATCGTAGGTAGCTAAGATTGGGGGCTTCTCCATCCCGACGGAGAGACGAGTCTCCATGATAGCTCTAGATAGCAGAGTGCGGGGGTCATCCTTGTCGATTCTGATGGGTGATTGTGAGGGGGGAAGGGTCGTACTGAGGTCTCCTTCCATGGCGTGGAGGGCTCCTCGGATGACTTTTCGATTTCCTAGTCTTCCCATCGACTCTGCTTCTCTTGGGAGCCGGGGAACATCACTTTTTCTAGGGAGGAGAGTGGTCACGCTTCTGGGAGGCCACAGAATGAGGCATTTCCAGTCGCGGACGACACCCAGGTTGTCGAGGAGAGGGGCTCAGAGACTCGTCATGTTGCAGCCTCCGTGGGGGAGGGGAATGATGGGCTTCTCGTCGTCACAGGGATGGGCTGCAAGAAACCGGGCGACAATGTCTTCGCGGGGGAGTGCGTGATTGTCGCTCCTTTTCCAACATTCTGATACGTTTGTTCTGTTGGAAGATCATCATGTTTGTCTGATTGATTGCAGCGAACAGAGCCACCATGGTCTGGTTAACGTTGGGCAACATAGAGATTGGTTGGAAGACAACCAGGCTATCAAAGCGTCAGGCGGAGTTGAAGGCCGCATCGTCGGGGGAAAATGAGGCGGTGTGCCCCTTCCTGGCATTGCCTTCCTCGACGTGAACGATCACGTTGGGATCGTGATCGTCGTCGTTGGTGAACGGGGTAAAGGAAGTTTCATGGATGTTGCCGTTATTGCGTGGGTTGACCATGATAAACGGAGGTTGAGGTAATCTTTGGTTCTTAGGTTTCTTTGGAAGAAAGAACGGGGAAGCAAGTTTCGCATAGATAGCGCCGCTGATCTTACAAGACCAGTAAGGGATTAGCAGCCAACAACACGTCGTGAGCTCCTTAATTCGTCGGTGGTGGAGAAGAGGAGGGGGTGTACCTGCAAGATACTTCGATGTCAAAGTAAGTGACAAAGTAGAAAGAACAAATACATAAAAGGTGTAGAGAGAATAGAATATCTGACCATCTAATGAAATAGAGTATTTATAATGTGTCTCACCGTTGGGCCTACGGTTACTTTGCACTAGGTTGGATTGCTAGGCCCAATACGAGTAACTTCCAAGGCTTATATGGCATAAGGAAGACCAGCATGTGGTCTTCGTCCTAGGTCAACTGTCCCGTGACCTTCGGAAGGTGGGTAGTTGCCTGATGACGTGTCCCCGCGTGGGGAGCACGTGGAGACCATGGGGAGACGTGTAAGAGCTCCCCGTATGCATTAATGGATTGGACTTTCATTGGCCCCTCTCCGACAAAAAGTTGAGTTGGACCGTGTCCGACGGTGGATCAACCTCTGGCCCAATCTAGAACACTTTCCTTTAATATTTGATAAATCAACCTATGTATTATATGAATTTCCAATTGTCAATTAAGCTTCTACACTAAAGCATGATTATGTATTGAACATGTTATAAAGATTGGTTATTAAATTATTAATTCCATCATAGATTGGTTATTAAATTATTAGTTCTATCAAAATTGATGGGTCAATTCGAAAAGATCAATATAAAAAAACATTTTTTACTTAAAAAAATTTTCTTTTATAAGTAGCATATTTTTGTGAAGGACACACCACATAATCTCCAAAATCTTAAAAGTAATAGATATGTGCGTTTTTCAAACACATCACATACTAGCTCAAAATCTTAAGATTATAAATACTCAAATCTCCATTTTTAAAACTAATGTGAGACTTTCCCACACTTCTCAAACTTGTAATGTTTTTTCAAAGAAAACATTTCATTGTTATAAAACTTCTTAGGTCAGGGAGGTTTCATTGTTGTTGAATATCCCGATTCTCTTACCCTAACTAAGCGTACGAAGGAGAAGCAAATTGTCTTTTTATTGCTTTGCAATAGGCGCGAGATTGAAATGCAATTGCCAATTATATGATATTTGAGCTTGATAACATGTCAAATGTGGATAATAACAATACCATGGATGTTTCTAATTTTCTTTATTGCTTTAATTTTACAGTCACAATTACATCCTCAATTTCTTAGGTTTATTTCCAAATTTTCTATGATCCTCTCTATAATAATTAATAGTTTATTAATGAATGAAATGAACTAGAATATTTTAAAATATTCTCTGATATTTATCCTAAACATCCTTTAAAAAAGAAACAACTAAACCCGCAGCCATTGACTAGTTCTTCTTCTCCACCTATAAATTCACAAAATATAGTTTTCCACAATTGATATTTGAAATAATTTCAATGGAGTCTAATCCTCCTCCTCCTCCTAATCAAAAGCCTCATGCTGTATTTGTTCCATTTCCAGCACAGGGTCATATCAACCCAATGATGCAACTAGCCAAACTCTTCCGTTGCAACGGTTTCCACATAACCTTCGTCAACACTGAGTTCAACCACAAACGTTTGATTAAATCTCTCGGGTCAGAGTTTGTGAAAGGTCTCCCGGATTTTCAATTTGAAACCATACCTGATGGTTTACCAGAATCAGATAAAGACGCAACACAAGACGTTGAGCCGTTGTGTGAAGCAGTTAGAAAAAACTGTTATGCTCCATTGAAAGAGCTTGTGATTAAGCTCAACACACATATTCCAGTTACTTGTGTAGTTGCTGATGGGCTTTCGGGGTTTGCTGGAAGAGTAGCGAAAGATTTGGGCATTCAAGAGTTGCAGTTTTGGACAGCTTCAGCTTGTGGATTTCTGGGATATTTGTATTTTGATGAACTTGTCAAAAGAGGAATTCTTCCATTCAAAGGTATCACTCAAACTTCATTTAATTTTATCTAAATTTATCAATGAAACAAATTAAATTGAACCAAAACCTGTGTTAATTTTCACAATCTTGCAAATTAGTCAATAGGTTAGCAAAGAAAATGAGAAGTCCAATAAGTCGGCGATGATATGAAAAGTATTCTGATATATTATTATGTTTTTGCCGACACACGTGTTGACAACCAACACCATACACTGATACGTTTTTGTTTTTGATTGCTGCACACTTATTACATATCTACTATTTTAGTGTTCATAAAATTATATTTGGACCACTTTTCTTGGTTTTTTTTTACATAATAGACTATTGCTTTTTAAAATGAGGCATACTAAGATACCATTTATTTGCTTTGCAATAGAGAAATCATCAAAGAAAAAAAATATATAATAAAATTTATCTCTTATAAGTGACATCTTCATCTTCTCATCGAGAGACCCAAACATGTGTCAATTTATTTCATCTTTTCATCGAGAGACCCAAACATGTGTCAATTTATTAGTGAAACTAATAAAATTCATATTAGATACACTATTATAAATGATTTTACTTAAAGTGAAAAAGACATTTTACTTCAGTTCAGAATCCGAATCCGAGGTAAAAAAGCATGTCATAAGAAGTGTTCAACTATATTCTTATGATTAACGGTTAATAGAGGGAGAATATGGAATTGATCACGAGTTCGATATCAACAACAATATTTTTATATTTCCAAAATTAGAAAGTGCACCATACATTTTCCCTCGCATTATCTTCCAACAGAGCTAATATATATAATCTTTTTACTTCGGCTTGGGAAAACAATCGAGAATAAAACCCTTATTTTTAATTTTTCTTATAATTTTACAAAAAAAATTATTTTAATCTATATATTTTTTAAACAAAACATTATCTAAATTAACTTAAATAAAACATATGATTTTTTGAAACATAACCTAAACAGAAGATATGGCTCTTTTGTACCTATAATTTGTTCTTACCAAACCTAAAATAGTGCACACACTCTCTTTTACAAAAAAATTAAAACATATATAAATGATTAATCAACAAAAATAAAAATTAAAGTGCAAATTCTTAAACGGATATCCTAAAGTCTACATTTTTTAATGGTATCCGGTCCTTAAACACATATAAACATTTAAAAACAATTAGGATAACATAACAATAACAATGTTAAACCTCCAATAACAACAATAACATTAATCATTTAATATCAATAAATATATATTACTGTTCTGTTATAGAATCAGAATTGATCAGAAAACGGAGCTTGCGAGATGCAACGATAGACTATAACTTCTGATGCGGTGGAAGAGAGGGTGACCTGTAAGGTTAGCACTCTGATGCTCAAATTAAAATGTGATTGAGATGAGTGGGTGAATTTAAAATTTGAAATTGTGTATTGAAATTGGCGTGCGTGTCCTTTATATAGTACAACACTTATAACAACTTTGTTATTCTTCAAGCGTAGGATGCAAGGAGCCATTGGGTGTATCTTGGATCTTGATTTTCTATGCTCTTCCATAGGGTTATCGCTACAAGCATTTAGTAAATTTCTGATTCCTCTGGATTGGGGTCGTTGGCTCTTTAGGCCGTTTCATAATAGTTTTTCTTAAGCCATTGTCTCTGCTTGGAAGTCCGAGGTTTTTTTTTCGTATTCTCCCTTTCGTACCGACTGCATCCCAACTTGAATGGAAAGCCAAGAGGTGAGATTAATGTTCTTGGGAATTTGCACCTTTAATGTGACCCATGCTACATACATCTTTTTGTAGGTTCTTTCCAATGGTCTTTGGAAATCGAAATACTAAAATGTTTTTCTAAAGTGATATGGAGTGTTGATAGAATTTGTTACTTCTTTCCAAGTCACTATGTTATTTCTCAAGAGTTAGTTTTGCGTGTTCTTAAGAATTTACCTTTGCTTTACTGTGTCAATTTGTCAGTTGTTTCTATCTTTTCTCGATATGTTAACCTTGATAAAACCTTTTTGGATGTAGGTCATTCTTCAAATTGGGGTGTGTGAACCCATAACGAAAACAAAAGGATTTGCAGCAAATAGGGCGAATGCGCCATTCCCTATATGAGTGCACCTTCTCGTTTTTGGGTTTTCGTGTGCCCTTTAATAGCTTTGAGATGGAGGTCTTTATTAGACATGTGACTTCTCACACAAGAGGGGAGTGAATTGTGTGGTTCCGAAAAAAATATGGTTTTAAAAAAGAATTCGGTTTAGATTCAGTGTTTACAAATAATTTGAAATATTTTTTAATATTTAAGTAACAAAAAATAAATTAGCAAAATATAAATTTCAGAAATGTAAAGAGTTAAGAGAAGAGATGTACACCAAGAGTTATACAAGTTCAGTCAAAAAATGAGTTAGTCATGTCTCCTAGAATTGATCTTGAGAGTGTCCAATAAACTTAAGAGTTTTTAGTAGGTTATACTCACGAACCCTCCTTATACAAGAAAAAAAAATGAAGTTTAATGTTGACTTCCAACTAAGAAGTAAAAAATTAAGTGAAGCGTTGAGTCTTCCTTCCAAACGGTAGATCGAAGTGGTTAGTTTCCTTTCTCCGAGAATCTTGGAGCGGTTAGTCTTCAAGCTTCTAAATAAACTTTGTGAGATTTTAACACACTGGGCTGAGCTTACGAACCTTAAACCTTGGTATTAACCTAAGAGATTTAAACCCCGAGCTAATCTCGAACCTTAACAAGCTTTTGTTACAGACTAAGCTTTAACCTTGAATTTGTTTTACCACGAGCTGACCAAGAACCTTTGAAAGTTTTTATCACGGGCTGACCTTTCGAACCTAAACAAGGGTTTTATCACACAATTAACAGTCCATAAAAAATCCCTTGGTGAGCTTACAACACTACCCTTCTAAAATACAACTTCTAACTTGCAAAAAGAACTTTCTCAAAAAGTACTTAGTTTAAAAACTTAGTGAGAGAAAATAAAATAAAATTTTAGAGAGAGAGAGAGAGGTATGAAATTTTAAAACGAGATAAGGGACCTCTTAAGACTTCCTTCAACCCCTTCATGACTTTCAGAATACTTTTCTCCTTTGAAAACATATTCTTTCTTGTCGAATTCACCAAGAGAAATCAATTTTCTCTGCAAATCAGGTACATACCTGACTTCAGTCAACAACCTTATTGACTCATCATGGAGCTTAAATCTCACAGATCCAACACCTGCAATCTTACAAGCATTATTGTTTCCAAATAATACAAATCCACCATCTTAATCACATAGTTCCTCGAACAAGAACATTAGATGAGTCAAAATCATCTTAAATAATGGTTGCGTTGCAACTATCCTTACCTCCACGATCTTCTAGGCATTCAGGACACACTTTTCTTGTATGACCCTCCTTCTTAAAGTGATAACATCGAATACCAGATGCATCACAACTATAAGACTTCTGCTGACTTTTACCTTTCTTCTTTTCCAACTTGCCATCTCTCTTTGTGAATTTCTCCTTAACCGACAGGCCTTCCCCAATCGAAGATGACTTGTGCTCCCTTCGTTCATTCAAATCCTTAAAATACAAGGTTGATCAAACTTCTTCGAAGGTCAAAGAATATCTTCCATACAAGAGAGTTTCTTTGAAGTGATATGGGAAAAGCACAAAACAACAATAACACTTGATCTTCATCTTCAATCTTGACATCGATATTTTCAAGATCATGAATTAGCTTGTTGAACATATCCAACTGCTCGTCTAGAACTTTGTCTTCACTCATCTTAAATGAATACAAAGCTTGCTTCAGGTAGAGGCGATTGACCAACGATTTAGTTATGTAAAAACTTTCGAGTTTCACCCATAACCCAGACGTCGTCGTCTCTTTCGAAACCTGTCGAAGAACCTTATCACAAAGGCTCAATAAGATGGCGTTACGAGTTTTCTCTACCATAGTCGTTTTTTCTTAGTCCATTAACGCAACGTCCATGGTTGCGTCTCCTTTCAACGCTTCTAAACAAACTTGTTAAATCAGCAGGGCTTTCATCTTCAAGCACCATGAACCAAAATCGTTCAGTCCAGTGAACTTTTTAATCTCATACTTTGTTAGCGACATCTACTCCACGCTCACCACACCAATTTATTGTGAAAAATGATATCGGGATAACAAAGTATAATTGATTTCTTGATCAGTAAGAAACCTACAAGGGTAGAAAGAAGGGAAGCAAGATGAACACAAAGAAGTAAATAATTTATTCTTTACTTTCTTTTGAAACAAGATTACAAGTGTTACAGAATAGTAAATAATTTGTCTCACCCTAATTAGGATTTGCATCACACCCCAAAGATGAGAGACTATCATGCTATTTATAAAAAAAATAACATACTGATCTAATGGGGTTTTACACAAGGCTCATTACACAAGCTAACTTAGGGAACAAGATAACATAAACAATTGAGATTGCAACTAAAGTCCAAATCGACATGCTAAGACTCCTAGCATACTTCGACTACAGCATGTGAACAAACTTCGACAACGTGCTAAGATTCTTTCAAATTGACGAACCAAGAAGCTACCATTCGACCATACTAGGGTTTTTGGATGATTTTCACAGGAGTAAGGGTTTCTGGGTAAGGGTTTTATTTATTTGAGAATGAATGAGTTCGGTGGATCGATGAAGATTGTTCTTGACGAAATAAAATTTATGATGGAATTTGTTTTAGGGTTCTGGATGTTTTTTTGGGATTGAATTGTTGGAGGATGAAGGAGATGATGGATTTTTTGGATTTTTGTAGTGAATGGAATTTGAAAATTAGGATGTGGTTATGAAGTTTTTTGTGGGTGATGATGATTTTCTAGAAATCATGAATAATATATGAAGGTGTTTTTGTAGAATTTTATGATGATTTAAAGGTTCCGGTGGTGGGTGTTGAAGTTTATGGTGACGGAAAGTGAGAGGCAAAGAGAGAATGGTGGTGAAGAGAATGGCATAGAGAGAATGGCGGTGAAGAGAGATAAATAAAATCAAGAAATGAAAAAAAAAGGTCTTACGTTGTGAAATGGAGAAAGAAGATAATAAGCAACTTGTGTGTAGTCAATATAGGGCTAACATGTAGCATGAGAAAAGGAAATTTAGTAAGGAGTCTGCAGGAAATCTGAGAAAATCAATAGGCAGAGGATATGCTGCAGGAATCATGTGGGATGGTGATGATGAAATAAAAAAGGAATCTTGGAAGAAAAGGAGAGAGGACACGTGGTGAGGATATAAGAAGAATTTACTTATGATATCATATTAGTTTTACAATAAAAAGTAGTAAACATTATTTTATTGATATGAAAAACTTGGTTTACAAATAGATGTAGCAATATTTATATACAAAATAAATGGAAAACGATAAATTCTAAATAGTAGGAGAAAAGTAACTGCATAGTTAATACTAATAAAACTATTTATTATTTAATAAAAAGGGTAACTAAATACTAAAAAAATGGCATTAGACGTGCTGGCTTCCTCGTGTTTGTGTTGATCGATTTTTTTTTCTTTTGGTTTGTATTTTGTATTTGTTTTTAGGTTTTCCATTTTTTATTTATGTTTGATTTAAATTTGAATATAATTTTAATATTTAATGAAATATTGTTAAATTTTAATTAAAGTATATCTAATAAACTAATTTATTATTGGCAACCCACTTTTTGTCAAATTTGTAGATGAAAATTTTGTTGTGGATGGTACCTTAGAAACAAGTTTAGATTGGACTTCAGGAATGAAAGATATCAGACTAAAAGATCTTCCAAGCTTCATTAGAATCACTGATCTAAATGATATTATGTTTGATTTTCAAGGCTCTGAAGCACAAAATTGTTTGAGATCATCAACAATTATAATTAACACATTTGAAAAATTGGAAGGTGAAGCTCTCGACACACTTAGGGTCAAAAACCTAAACATATATAGCATTGGTCCCCTTCACATGCTTGGTAGGAACTTTCCAGAAAAGGAACATGGTTTTAAGGAGAGTGGTTCGAGTTTATGGAAAAATGACAAAGAATGCATAAAATGGCTGAACAAATGGAAACCTCTCTCTGTCCTCTATGTTAATTATGGAAGTGTGACTGTTATGACAAATCAACACTTGAAAGAATTTGCTTGGGGAATAGCAAATAGTAAATTACCATTCTTATGGATAATGAGGCCTGATACAGTAATGGGTGAAGAGATTACATCTTTACCACAAGAATTCTTAGATGAGGTAAAGGATAGAGGATACATAACTAGTTGGTGCTTTCAAGAGCAAGTTCTTGCTCATCCATCAATTGGAGGATTTTTAACTCATTGTGGTTGGAATTCTACACTTGAAGCTATTTCTTCAAGTGTTCCTACTATTTGTTGGCCTTTTTTTGCTGAGCAACAAACAAACTGCAGATATTTATGTAACACTTGGAGAATAGGGGTGGAAATTAACTATGATGTAAAAAGGGATGAGATAACAAAAATTGTGATGGAATTGATGGAAGGAGAAAAGGGTAAAGAAATGAGACACACATGCTTGGAATGGAGGAAGAAAGCTACAAAAGCTACTGATTTGGGAGGATCATCATACAATAATTTTTATAAGTTAATCAAAAAGGTTCTTCATCACAATATTACTTGAGTTTCAAATATTAGTCTAATTTATGAATTGTGTTTTGGTTAGATGTAATATTTATGTTATATTATTTTTATTTTAAGGATTTCAATTTCATATTTATTGTATTATGATTGTTAGCTTGAAATATTGATGTTAAAAAAAATAAATTTTTTGAAAACTTTATTATGATTTATGTAAAATAGAAATTACTTTTTGTATATATAATTTTTTTATAATAAAAATTATCACTTAATAAATTCCAATATGATTGATATTAATAAAATTAGATGAAGAATGGAACGTGAAGTTTGGACAAAAACAAAGTTATAGACAAAATGTTTACATCTTGTAAATAATACTATTATATATTTCAGAATATATCTACAATGAAGTTTTGTTTGGTCATAATTAAGATGTCTTACACAATGTTGTAACAATATGATAAACAAGTTGATATAAATTAGGAATGAATAATTTAAACAAATAACAAATAAAGAAGACAAAACATTGGTAATCCAATTCACTACAACGTCACCTACGTCTGGCGGGTTGTCACCCAAAGGAAAGACAGTTCACTAATTCAAGTAGTCAATAGTACATGATAGTTTCCTCTGAATCCTCCGAGTTAAATGCCTTTTTTCTAATACTACTAGTGAATATCAACTAAGACTCTCCCTGAATCTAAGATCTTTTCACTTTCACTCAAACACTCCCCCAAGTGTTTGCAAGAACTAGTTATGTATGGTGTGATTAAAATTACGAATACATACCAAATACTTTATCTTTCTAAAACATAAAAGACTCTCTGAGATTGAGTATTACACATAAAAAACTAAATACAAAGACTCAAAGAAAACCTATTTTGGAACACACATAGTCTTTCTTCAAAAGCTTGAGTCTTCAAATAAGGAGAATCATCTCCTTATATAAAAGATACGAACGATACAAAAATCTCAATTGAGAGAACTTCATAAATCAAATGAATCAATGTTCAGCGAATCAAATCTTTTTTTAAAAATAAATTAAAATCTTCTAATTAAATCAAATCCTATGAAATCTTCTTTGATATGATGAACTATATTTCAAACTAATTTAAATAAAGAAAACTTTTTCCGAACAAAATCCTTGAAAACTTTATGTTGAACTTAATATAAAACAAATATTTTAATAAATGTTGAAGATATTACATAACAATATAAACAGCATGCACAAGTGACAACTAAAGACGTGGTGCCTCACAACAAGTCAAGACATCTTTTTAAACAAGGTGCCTACAAAAACATGTCAATCAGTTGTATTATAAAAACTGCCCATTGGCTATTTTTAGGAAAAGTAATATTGCAAAGATTTAAGCATATCATCAAAATTATAGCACACAATACATAGTAGATAAACAAAAATGACAACATTCGTCAATCAACATAAACCAGAACCATGAGTGCATAATCATGAGTTTTCCCTCTATTTTTGTAAAATGAGTCAAGGTCAAGAGAATCCAGAGTAAAAAAACAACAAAGAGAGACAAACACAACCATCCAATAGAACAACAAGGAAAATCACAAAGACGGAGCATCATAATTACTATCTGAGGCGATTTCATTTAAGTCATCACTATATTCCTCTCCAGAGCTAGACAAATATTGTGTCTGAGTCCACATACATAAATTTTTTTCAACAACATGATGAGATGGGGAAGCTCCAATAATTCAAGGGTTCAACATTTTGATAAGTCCTTCCCAAACACTTTTCATAGTAGTGGATGTGACAATAATTTCCTGCAATACCTTGGCTCCATGTAGCAGAGAAGCCACATCAAACATATCTTCATCAACACTTAAATTTATTAATAGCTGAAATATTGGGAAAAGTAATGTCAGCGACATGTTTCCCCACAAACAATTTGTAATTAAAATTCGTCACAGTAGAAGAAACACAACCTTCACACTCATTTGTAATAATAACGTTCTTTTGGGCATTCGATATTTCATAAATTAAGTAAGGAAAGTGTTACACTGGATGTTTCAACTTAACTATAAATGACAAGTATTCAATGAGACCAGCCATGAATGTGCCACATGGAAGATAAAATACCATGGGTCAAACTTGATCATAATGACTCAAGGTCGGGAATCATGTACGGGGATGTCGGTCAAAGGTGGCGTATTCGAAGGGCACATTGAGAAGCACATAGACTTAGTGAAATTGAATACTATACTATGTTAGCCACTTAGTGAAATTGAGTACTATGCCATGTTGGCTAAGGTTGGAGTTCACCATTACAGTTAAATATTATGCCATGTTGGCTAAGTCTAGAGTCCACCATTATAGTTGAATACTATGCCATGTTGGCTAAGGTTGGAGTTCATCACTACAATGGAAGTAATGACAACTTAGTCACCACATGTGGAGTACCTCACTATAATGGACAGTATGTCGAAACAGGTTACATTAACGTGGTCGACGTCGAAGGCCTCGACGAGGATATTCAGTTCTTGGCGCCAATAAAATATTTGAGAAGTTCAAATGATACCACAAAGCGGGAACTACTATATCAGCATCGACGGTTACATGGAGAACGTGGGGCACGTCGAAGAGAGCTGTTGCACGATAAAAAAAATGTGTCACCACGAGAGTAGCTTATCATGCTTAGGTCGTTATCTTAGTATTGTATATATAGGTACTTAGGTTCATTTTGTAAGGAGTCCGCAAATTATACACGTTTCTGAAACACTCAAAGTACATGCGCTGTGAGAAATGAGTGAAAGGAAGATGTGCGTATGCGTTCCACCGTTTTATACAAATTCGGCAATTTTATCTTAAGTCTTTCTTTTATGCATTCAAGCTTTTTCGACTTCCTTTTATTTTCACGCAACTTTAAGTTTCTTGAATTTTACTTCCAAGTCTCTCTTTTAACTTTAAGTTTCTTTTACTTCTACTTTGCAACAGTTTTTTGTGAGAGATCACAAACATTTTCTGATACTTGCTCGAGTTTATGTTAACTTCGACAAGCCCTAGGATTTTCACGAGTAACACACACACACAAACATGTTCGGTAGATTTTTGAGTTTGATCCCTTAAGTATTAATATAAACTTATATTTGTTTACCAAATTTCACAATAAACTAATTGGCACGCTCAGTGGGACCGGTTTCTGTTGTTTTTAGACATTCGTGTTTTAAAATTCATACATTTCCCTGCATGCGATTAAGGTGTGGTAAAATAACGAAAAGAGAAGTAAGAAGACCTGCTAAAAGCTCAGTTAGAAGAATGGTGAATCCTAGAAATAATAACGGAGATCATCCTTCTAACAACGCTGGGGCATGAACTGTTTCTATAACGGTTACTGAACCCATCCCTTCAACGACTAGTGCGACGGTGATGCCATCTATAACGATAGCATCAACGATCCCACCTGAGGGGACAGTCTTATCCCCAATTCCCCATAGTCATCCAGTGACTCCTAGACCAAGTGTGGCAATGGATTTTAGGCCTTTTACCACAAATTTCACAATGTCAATTCCAGGGCATGAACAACCCTTTGGGATGCCAACAACAATTATGGCAAGTTTATAGAATAAGCCTTCGACATTTGTGGATAATTCTGCAAATATGTTTTTGCCCATTGTGGCGTCTGGTTCATCCATAAGCAACCATGGTCGAAATGTGCCACCCTGTATAGGGATGGGATTTGGCTCCCAAGTGATGCCTGCAATGACCACAAACTCTATTATGGAAATAAGGCAGCAGATGAACGAGAGTAACCACGATATGATAAATACTCTAACACAACAAATGAGTACAACATTTAACCCATTGATTCAAAACACGAATCAGAGTTACCAATAATTGGAGACTCAAATGATGAGGATTGCAGATTTCTTCGGCGCTCCCCGAGTGCAAGTTCGACCAGTCGTGCAGCCCCAGGTTATCGCACAAATTCAGAACGAAGGAGTAGTCCTAAAAAAGACTATGAACCAGGGACAACAAGGAAATCCCCCAAAATTCGAACATGAAGTGCATGTTGGTGAGGTAATCCACCTGTGATAGTGGTTAATCGAAACCAGGATGCTGACCAAATGGTCCACCAGGTTCGACAAGGGAATTCGTTAGGAGAGAACAATCTGACAACTATTGTCGAAAGAATAATGGCTCAAAACGAGGTGAATATGGGCTTGCAAAGACCAAATTATACTTCCCCCTTGTCAGAGTATGTATTACAAATAGAGTCGCCAAGGGGGATGGAAAGCCCCTAAGTTTACAAAGTTCACTGGTGATACCAACGAATCTACGGCCGAACATATTTCTTGTTACCTTACCAAAGCAGGTGACATTGCAAACAGTGAGAACCTGAGGATGAGATATTTCCCTAGTTCTCTAACAAAAAAACGCTTTCACATGGTTTACAAATGTATCACCATACTAAATCCATGATTGTGCGCGTTTAGAGAGGTTGTTCCATGAATAATTCTACATCGGGCAGTCTAAGATTAGTTTGAAAGAACTGTCGAGTGTGAAGTCAAAATTCGCTAAATCAATTGACGATTACTTAAATAGATTCTGTTTATTGAAAATAATGTGCTTTACTCAGGTTCCTAAACATGAGCTTGTCGAAATGGATGTTGGAGGGCTAGACTACTCCATTAGGAAGAAGTTGCACACTCAGTACCTAAGGGATATGACCTAATTAGTAGATAGAGTCAGACAAGTCAAAAGGTTGAAGACCGAGAAGGCCAGAGCCAAAAAGGGTAAGAAAAAACGTATAGCTCACGTCGACATGCAAGACCAAGACGTAGTGTCAGAGGTTGAGTATGAGCATGTTGAGGAGTCTGAGGTCGATGTGGCTAAATTGAAGCCAGGTCCCCCATACGTGTGTAAGTTACTTACACCGGCAATGGAAAAAGCCTATAGAACCTAAAGAAAACAATAAGTTTCCTAAGAAAACTTACACCTTCTACGTAACCAAATGTGACAAAATTTTCTATATGTTGGTTACAGGTGGTCAAGTGCTGGTATCCCCAGTGGAA